CAAGGGCAGATGTTTTATTTTATTCGGCTTATAATTCCTTACTAAATGTAGTATTTCATCTCGATGTACTCCGTCTTTGATATGATTTAAATCAAATTCCTCGTCATTATAAATATCACGAATACACATCAAATAGTTTTCTGGTTGCAATTTTCTAATTTCGACTATGCGTAATGTATGCTTTAGGCATGTGCGCGTTGAAAGAAATGTTTAATAAAGTAAACAAATAAAAATTTTTTTTTTTTTTTTTTTTTTTTTTTTTTTTGTAAATTTTGATACCCTTTAGATCATAATTGCTCTTTATTTCATAAATTACGGTTTCATATTTTTAATTTTATAATTTCTGCATGCCATCTTACCAGATTTAAACTGATGATCTATAATCCGGAAAAAAAAACCGATAATCTGGAATCGCCGAAGTCCCGACGAGTCCGGATTAAAGACTTTTGACTGTATAATATTTTTTTTTTTTTTAATTTCCATTACGACATACGAATAACTTTGCTAAGTTCCCCATCTTAAGGGGATCATCACAAAGTACAATTCATCTTTCTGTTATATATACAGGCTAACTCAAAAATCTATGATTAAGCTTTAAGAAACGTCAAGAAATAAATAAATCGTATTTATAGGGCAACAAGGCCAAAAATGCAAAACAGATAAATCTGCATTTTGTGTCGGCGCTCCTGGTAGGCACCTGGAGAGCTTTCTCATTAAAACTGCAAAATATGTAGCGCTTTACGAACTCTTAACAAAGAATCTCTAAGGATTAAAGATTCTTTGTCAAGAGCTCTTTAGTTGCCAGAAATTGACTTCATGTAATGAATAGTTGACGGTAAAGAACGAGCCACCGTAAGAATATACGGGGAAAGGTAAAAAACGAGCCACCGTAAGAATTATGTACCATTAATATTATGATACACATATATACAATCATATGTGTATCATAATATTAATGTTTTTGCATTTACAAAAGAACCTGTGTGAATGAACATGAACCTTTCAGGTTAAGAGTGTAGAATGCCAAATGGTGAAGATCAACCCTAACACTTGGCATGTAGGAGGATGGGCCGCATGTTATGGAAGCTGTATATAGCTAATGTCAAGATTAAAATGCAGTTGTGTGTCTAAAAGAAGTATCTAGAATTGGTGTATATTATGCAGCTAGCCTTTTCTTAATTTCATCTGCAATGTGTCCAGTTATTGTGATGTATGGTATTTTTAGCAGTGGCTCTTTATGAGCACCTTCATAATGGTACCCAGATATAAAGGTAAACACACCTTTATAAAGATCGATCGATGTTCGAAAAAATAAAATACTTCAAAAGGGTGCCTTGGCAAAAGACGTGTGTTCCTTACAAAAATCAGTCTCTAATTTTAAAAAAAATCCAACCTCCAAAAGGATATGAACACTTACGGCAGGGGTATTTATGCAAATGAAAAACACATTTGCAAATGTCGTTTTCATTTGCATTATAGATTGACGACGCAGGGGATGAAATTAATTTTCGGCACCTTTATGAAAAATAAGATATTTCTACAAAAGCGCCCGTCACACATTTCTGCAAAGGGTATATTTATACAAATCCAGTGGAGTGAATTTGCATAACGGTATCGGAAATTTATTTCATCCCCTGCTTAATTAATTAATGAAAACAAAAATTGAACTTACATAAGGATGCACTCGAGAATTAAATACGATCTGTGTTAATGAAAGACTCTTTTCTGAAGTTAGAAAATGATACTCATCAGGGACGTATATCTTCAGGCAGGGGCATTCCTAACAAGGCCTTTTCAAGCAGCCGCCGATCTGCACATGGGTGCAAGTACCTTTATGATGGACTAGTTATCAAACAGTCTTTGATTCTTTTTCCAGAGCACTTTTGATCTAGAATTTTGAAGATGTATTTATGGAGTCCTTTTCTTGTAAAGAGGTCTTCGCGATCCCAGCGCAAACTATGGGTCCAGAAGAATGCACTGCTACTCAGTCACATACTACTTAACACCGCTTCACCATTTTAATATGCAAGTTGATGACTGTCTAATGAGTCTATACTACTACTACTACTACCCAAACTAGGTACTTGGAAGAAACTGCTTAATGAGTCAATTCCTACTACTATGCAAATTAGGTACTCCGAAGAAGTAAGAATTTTTGCAGGCGAGATTTTGCATGACTTTTAAACAATGATCCCATGACTCCACTGTTTGCGATTCCACCCCCAAGGGACTCCAGCTCATTTCATCACACAGGCGAGTATTTAGTGAAACTTTTGTGAAGTGTTGGATTGGGGCATGGTGAACCGGTGTCGAAGTTCTCATAGACACTTGAGACCAATGTGTATTAAATGCCTGTTGTTTCTAATGTAGGGCTTGCTGTAAGAACCTCAAAAGTTGCTACTACTGATCTACGAAATTGAAGGTGCCCTAAAATATTTGGCAATCCATGTGGAGTTGAGGACGGGGATGCATTACGGAAAATTAGCTAAAATTTTAAACATCACTTTTAAAACCTTGTAGGGATTTATATTTATTTTAACTAATAATTTAAAGTTTTATTTAAAAATTTCCTATAAGCCTTCATTCCCCTAATTGTCAGTGCCAGAATAGTTAAATATTGTAAATGCGTGCATGAACGCATGCAAATTTTCTATGTTGAAGGAAGTAGTTAAAAGCCGAGTTTTGGTAGGATAAGGAGAGAGTTGGGCTTTAGCTGGTGTCTCTGCCATAGGTACATTTGCTTACTGCTGGTTCAAGTGGCTTAATTGCATTGCTTTGCTGCCGCTAGCTTGGAAGGAGGTTGAAGTTCGGGATCTCGCTAAGCCCTGTAGGCTAGCTTATCACTTGTTAAACATTTCAACTTTTAATTTCAGTTACCTGACTTTCAGTCACAAGTTTGTTAGCATCAAGTTGACGCTCACACATTGTAAATTTTAAAGATTTAATAAAGGGTTTGAACCCTTCTTCTGTGTAGTTTCCTGATTACTCCAACATACAGATAGAAGTTAACCCACCTGGACACTACAACCTTACTATTATATATGTCTATAAGTTTTCTTAATTGATCATCTTAGATTTATTTAATTGGGCCAAGACTCCATTTATACTGTGATAAATAGAAGACAGATATAATATTGATAAGTAAACCGGAACCATTCTAGCTTAAAGCTTATTAGCTAGAATACATTTAAAAAAAATTACATTTTCCTTAAAAAGATTTTAAAGTTTCAAAGTTAAAATTTTTTATTCCAAAATTGTAATTTGGAATTGCAAATAGGCCGACAGACAAACATCATAGTTTATTAATAACAGATCGATGCTAGCTATCTACTTAAAGTATCGTCACGATTACTGTGCATTACGCGAAGTGCCCTGCTTTATAATATAATGTTATTGGGGCACTTCACATATAAGTAGAATGCAAATAAGTTCCTGAAGGCAAGGGGTTAATTAGTATAACTGTTTGGAGCGAAATAACCTGTATCATTCTGTTTGAAATACTTTTATTTATTTTATTTTAATCAAATTAAACAGCAGTATTATTAATTATGAACTGTACAGATAAGACCTTAAATATTTGTTTCTAGAATGAGTACAAAGGTAGATTGTGAATAAACAAAAGCGTCTGAATATCAGAATTATGCAAACTAAAAAATAAATGTTGCCCAAAATTATTAACTTAACAATCTGAATTCATTGTTCACTGCAACCGTAACTAGTCGTTACCCGCCTTTTGGCGCTAAATTTGTGGCGAACTATGCCTCGTGATGGAAAAAAATTGCTGCGCGCCTCGTGAGGAAAAGTAAGTTTTAATTTTAATACATTTTATTTGTATGTATTTAAATTATACTCTAATATAAATTAACTTGTTGGAGGATGATACCAGAATAAAGTAAATACTTAACATCCTTACTTAATCTTTTATTAACGATACTAAAAGAATTTTTTTTTTAAACTTTTACTGTATGTTTTAAAACTTACAGTTTTCCTAGATTTATCAAAATAGTTTATAAATTTATTATTTATATAAGGGTACAGTTCTTGATTGTTTTTATGACATATTTCTTTTAGTTTTAATGTATGAAACTGTATTTTGTAATGCTGTTTTCAAATATGCGATTTGCAGAAAATTCTAATTTTTTGCACTTTCTGTATTTCGATCTTAACACTTAAACATAAGAACTATACTTAATGAAACTTAAGTCTAAAGTGATTTCAGGCTTAAAGTATTTTTTAAAGCAAATATTACATATATTATAGTCATGTAGATCAATTAAGAATTATTAAATAATGGAAAAAACAAGAATATTAAAATTTTTATGTTTAGTTTATTTTGATCATCCACATTAAATTAATCGCACTGAATGCAATTTAAGTAATTTAATTTATATCACATAAACTTGTGCTCAGCATAAAATATTATAATCGTCAGAATGTCAGCATAAATTGGGGTAAGTTCAATTTTGTCTTGTTCTTTGCATGTTGCGTGTTTGGTAGTTCAGAATTGTTTTTCCTCTCCGAATTCCTACGGACAAGGATAACAATTTTGGCCGAAGATGGCGGCCGAAAAATCGCCAAGGGCCGGTTATCTGAAACGTGCCAAATGGCAAATTATTTTTATTCCGAATTTAACATTTCCCTTTTTTACTTATATGAGATTCTTGTAATTTGAAAAAATTCTGCTATGATACTGCTCAGCCTCAGAATAAATAAAATAACTTCTTTCAAGACGGATGTTAAAGAAGCAAATTTTCTTACAGTAATTAACGTAATTGGTTATTTAAATGATCTGAACAATGATCATGAGGTTTTCTCTCCTATGAATATATAAATATTCTTGATAAAAACAAGCCCACAATTAAAATAAATCCTAAAAATTTGGCACCTGCACTGCGTTTGAATATCAAAATTAATCAGAATTCTATTAAATACCATCATGAATTATTATATTTTGAAAATTAATACATATTTTTTAAATTAATATAAGACACGCAACTTACTACAAGCACAGTTTGAGTATTTGAATCCATCACTAAAATCATTGGGAATTATCTATAATTTTTGGGTATACAAAGTAGACAAATGTCTTGTTTTTGCACCCAATAAGTCTTTCTGCAGGATACCACGATGGTTAGTGCATTATTGTTCAACGGCAGTATCTCCGAAAATTCTGATTTAAATTGACAGCTGCTTCAAAGAACTAAGAAATTACCAAAAAAATCCGTACCCTGTATATAAACCTACAGCAGCGTTCAAACGCTCAAATTTAGTTCGAAAGAATTAGACTCTATAATTGACCGAGCTATTGCGAAGGGCAATGTTGCCGGTTTCAAAATTAAAGCCCAAGGGCACTTGATATAAAGAAATCCGGACGTGGAGAAAATCTCAGATGAGAAAACGGAGAAAAGGGGAAGAAGAGAAGTACCAAAAGGAGCAAGACAATCCAATCGAACAAGTTCGCAAAACGTGACGAGCGATCATAGCTTTCAAGGAGGATCCAAGACAATTTAGTTCGAAATCGAGTCAATGGCTAGGCGGCAATTAGTAGCCAACCGGCAAGCGTATTTCCAAACCCTACCCCACTTTTTTTTCGAACACTTTCGTTTGTTTTACTGACGTCGCTGAATTTTGCGATAAAATGCAGCACATTTATTGCCGAGTATCACCTTCCAGATTTTTCATACTGTTAATGTATACATCAGCAGTGAATTATTCTCCTCTTTCCTCAAATACCCTACGGCGATAAACAATAACCATTCACTAAAGATTTTGCGTAAGTTCCCACTCATAATAATTTAAATTGCGAAAATCTCACAATTAGCACCTAAACACACTATTCAGCATCACAATTCTTTCAAAAGCGCGCCGTAGTAGTCAAAAGTGGGGTAGGCGTCTTGCCAGGTGAAACTAGTCGATATTTCCGTGACGTCAAAAATTCGAAAAGTGGGGTAGGGTTTGGAAATACGCAACCGGCAACCGCTACTTTAACGTTAGTTCAAAATGGCGAATTTCGCGATTATATACTGCAATCTGACGTAAAGGTTTGATTAACAGTTTTCTGAATCTTATTGGTTACTGAGCTCAACTGCGGAAACGAAACAACCAAAAAGTTCTAGACGCATGGACCTTATAAGAAATAGACTAACCCAAATGGCTTTTCTCCCTCTTCTGACGCTTTCCCGGCTGTCACCTTGATCACATCCGGAGGAGTAGGAACGACTTGCAGAAACTTACAATGGTTGGCTATTGCAGTGGGTATAATTGTCAAGAAAAAGTTGGTTGTAGCGCTTCATTTCACAAATTAGAATTTTTAGATATTTTTATTTTTGAAACAGATAGATTTTTTTAAATTTAGCATTTTTATCAAGCATAATTAACGTTCCAAATAATTATAAAGCTGTTGCATGCTTTCAGGCCTGGCTATTTTTTTAGCTTTTCCTATGCTGTAAAGAAATTTGTAACTACTTCTTTTAGAAAATAATATTTTAAATCTAAACTAATAGAAAAATTCAAACAAAGAATTTTCTCTTATAATTTTTATGCTTTTTATTGGTGTAAATAAGTAAAAAATACTAAAATACCTAAAAATGAATTTTTAAAAGTTTTTGCTTAAAATTTTAAGTTGTGCTGCTTTTTTAAGATTATAGGCGAATATTATAGCATATTTTATATAAAGGAGTTTTATTTCAATTATATTTCACAATACATCATAGTGATAAACACTTTTAACACCTTAATAATTTTTATACATTTATTCTAATTTCAAAATTGTAAACTGTAATAATTGATTGTGCTAACATTTTATAGTGATTATTTTTTTAATTTAATTCTGATTCTGCATAAGATTTTTTTATTTACTGTGAATTTAATTTATTAGCCCAAAGGGGTGGTAGTCGAAAAAGGCTATTAGTTTCGAAACGGCATTTTGTTCTGTTTCATTATAAACGTCCGTTTCACTTTGGAAATTGTTGCCACCAAATATTATCGCCTTGTATTATATTTAAAGAAATTTAATAATAAATAATCTGCATGAATACATGTATGTTTCTCGCATTGTGAAAAAACGACGGTATTTAGAGCCATCAAATTCTGAACAACGTAATCCTCCACCCAAACAGCCGAATTTCGAATTTGCTTTAATCCATTTCATATTTTGTAAAATTTTAATGAATTATTGATTAAGAAACTCAACGAGTTCAAAACGAGCAATGGCAACACTGTGCGGAAAATAACATTTTTATCTCCAGCGTGGAAATTCTAAAGATATGTTTTCAAATATTTTGTGATACTGCTGTTGAATTGAATTTTGTGTTGTTTACGTGCGACAAACATGATATTCAATAAATAGAGGTAACACACAAAGCGTTAAAAAACGTCCCTTTGAGCGTAACATAAAATCTGAGTGCTTCCAGATTTTAATTTATTAATTTATTTTCATTACACTGAGAAAATGAATTAATGAATTATTAAAATAAATAATCATTCGAATTTTGTGAATTATTAAAATAAGTAATCATCATATGATGTTAATAATTAATAATCATATGATCAAATAAATGATCATCTTGTAATGTTATAATAATTTTATAAACCACTGCCTGAAAATGCTCATAATCAGATCTTGTTTATCAGATCTGATGTATATCAGATCTTGTTTAATTTTGCTTTATTTCTTCAAAGCTCCATGTACTATCAATCTTATTTAATTTTACGTTATTTGTACGCAAAATTAAGTTCATAAATTTTGTGCTTAGAGTTTTTACCGTTTTACCAAAGAAAAGATGTTTGTACACGAATTACGCGTGAAAAAAATGCGCCAAATGCAGTAAAAAGTGCTTTAATGAGATATATTAAATCCTATTTGGAAAAAACTGTGGCTTTCATAATCTCATCACTATACAACGTATCACATTTAATAATTAAAAAGAGTTATGTGATACAAACGCCATAAGTTTCAGTGTTGAAGTAAACCAGATCGTCCCTACTCTTTCTTGCCGACATGTCGGTGACTGGGTTGGTCTATCTCTTATAAGGTCCATGTCTAGACGTTTCTGACGTCATGGGGCTCAAGATGCGAACTACACGCTTACGATGGAGCTTCAGTACGCAGGCTGCTTCATACTCATTGATTTAAGCATCACGAGCCTCACTTGGAAGAGCAGCGACACTATCTTCAAACTGCGCAATCTCAAATATATTGCTGCAGAAAGAAGTAAACATTGTTGAAACTTGAAGTTAGGTACTCAAAAGCACGTGATTGTAACTGTTTTGTTTTAAAACTGAAATAAGGCAATGATTTTTGTTTAAAAATGCTGATTTGTAAATGAAGAATATTGATAGATATTTAGAACGAACTAAATTTTTCTTGAAATATTTTTATTCTTCCTGCTGCAGCTTTTTCTGAGGAAAACATTTTGAAAGTTCATAAAATGAGCTCTGAATAACGTTCGCCCTTTTTTAGGAATGTTGTGTGTTTCATAAATCTATCCCTTAACGAACAGAAAACAAAATCACCCAACATAAAAATAATGGCGAAAATATTTTATTTGGAATTAAATGAACGATATGAATGAGTCATTGTGATCGTTTCTCAATCTCATGAAATTTTATTTAAAATAGTATGGATAGATGCAATGAAGAAATAACCAAAAGTACAGGACCAAAAGTAAAAAATTCAAACGGATGCTAAATCAAAACCTGTTAAATGTATTCCAACTTTTTAGTTGCTTATCCTGAATATCCTTGGCATGAGAATAATACAATGGTGATTATAGGAGGGTGTCAGCGGTATCCTTTACATGACTATACTAGTCTGTTTTTTCGATTACTTTATTTAAAATGTAAAATGAGAAATCTGAATAAAGCGATGTAACAAAAATCTTTAACAAAATTTTATTAAGTTTTTTGTTGCTTATCCAGATTGATTCTGTCTCAAGCCTATGAGTTGGCTTACCATCGGCCGAGCAGTTAAATCCGCTAAATTGTTCGATTCGGGTTCCAATCATAGAATAGAATAGCTGCACTAATGTTTTTGTAATTTTCCCCATGTGTAATATCAGTATGAGCCTAATCATTTAAGAAAGTCGTCCACGAAGGCATTCCTCCTCTCAGGCGAATAGAAGCAGGCTTTTACATTAAAAAAATTTTCAGTTTTATGTCATTTATTGCACTGCTTCATATTTTATAAAATATCTGTTGAATTAGACAGCACTCTGTACTATTATTAATAGAAATACCAGTTTGTAAGATCCATATTATTTTAAACTTTTGTTTCAAGATAATGAGCTCGTAAGTTTAAGAATTCGTCTAAAATTATTATTAGTTGCGATCGCATATTCGCATATTTATTCCAGCCCTTTGTATTCAGTATGTCTATATCAAAACCAAGTAGTAGTAAAATTAAACGAAAAATCGCTGACGAACATAGAATATTCCAAGTAAAATGGGAATTAGAATATTTTTGCTGTGTAATAAAAGATAAAATAATCTGCTTGATATGTAATAATACTATTAATGTATCAAAGTTACTAGAACTAATACCGATGCCTGGTACTACCACAGGAGAAGATATATTTACTTGTGTTTTTGGACTTCTGCAGAAATACAATCTACCTTTGGCAAAATTAAATTCTGTAGCTACAGATGGCGCTCCATCAATGACCGGGAAGAACAAGGGCTTCGTAGCATTACTAAGAAAAAAACTTAGTGAAATTCACGGTTCAAACATTCATCATATGCATTGTATTATACATCAAGAAGTTCTATGCACGAAAGTAATAAATATGGAGAATGTTTTGTCATATATAAAAAAAGTTATAAATTTTATAAGATCTCGAGGTTTAAATCAGCGTCAATTCACTGCTTTCTTAAGTGAGTTAGATAGTGAATATTCGGGTTTGTCCTACTACACCGAGGTACGTTGGTTATCTTGCTCCAAGATTCTCAAAAATTTCTGGGATTTGAAAGAAGAAATATGTCAGTTTTTAGAAACGAAAAATCAAGACGTAAGTTTGTTTACGATCCAATATGGATACAAGATTTATCTTTCTTAGTTGATATAACCAAACACTTAACCGATTGAAATTTATCGTTACAAGGAAAAGATCATATCATTACGAACATGTTTGACAT